CTCTTATTCTATGCTTTTTTTCATTGATTTAGGTATATTATATGTTCAAACATTATAGCAAAATTTATTTTGGGTGAGAATGATTGTCTTCAATTGAGCAGAAATAATATGGAGCAAATCATACTATGTAAATCATAATATTCAATATCATGGAGCGGTTTTAAGATTTTCTTTTTTAAATCATACTTTTTTTTTTCAATATCTTCTTTAGTCCTACGTATTCAATAATATGAGAATATTTTTAAATCATTATTTTCTATACTCAAGATAATGGACAATCGCAGCTTTTGGAAATAGGGGGTTGAATTTTGTCTGTGTCAGTCGAACGCCTTAGAGGATCTCCAATGGTTTGTTATCACTGTAAAACTGGCTAACATGACAAGATTAATGGCCAAGCAGACCAAATGTTTTGATTATCATCACAATGTCGTTGAGACCAAACAATCAAGGGAAAAATTGGGGTTCGCAGAGGACGAGAAGTCGAGCAATGAAAACTACGTGAGCAAATTCAAGACGAACACTGGGATTAACAAGTGCGATAATGACATCCTACTTGGCAGCTATTCTTCTATCAAGTATTTCAAGACTTTTTTATCAGTTAAAGCATCGTCATGTAATAAGATCAGGGGCTATATGTTTATTTCCTGCAATGAAACCATGGAGAAGGATGTTAAGATGCAGTTGTTCTATTTCCCACTAAGCTATTGTGACTCTGTCTGGGCAATTACTCTCAGGATGTCTCTTTTTCTTTACAATGAAACAACTCGTCAACTTCATTGAACTTTTGAAACAACCAGTTTTGGGGGTTATAATATAGATTCAACAGCCTGAGAAGATATCAACTATAACGACACTTCTAGGTTTCCAGCACATGTGAGGATTCATATTAAAAAGCTCTGCAAACCCCTTGAGGAGGACGCATTCAGACCAATTTTACAAAATTCTTGTGACCCCACAGTTAGTTTTGAACACTCAGTTGTAGAAACCTTGGCCCTGTTAGATTTGTACGAGAAACAGGACATGAAGGCCCTGTTAGATTTGTACGAGAAACAGGACATGAAGGCCCTGTTAGATTTGTACGAGAAACAGGACATGAAGGCCCTGTTAGATTTGTACGAGAAACAAGACATGAAGCTTAATGAAGCTTTTGGGAAGAGCAAGCTCAAGGAAAGGATGTACCAAGTTAAAACAATTAGCTAGCTTAGATTGAGTATATGTTTGTTGTTATAATTCTATAGTTAGTTTCATTTTTTGTGGTTTCTTAGAATTATTTGTTTTATTTTTAACGTGTTTAATTGTCTTCTATTTTTAAAGGGTTATTACACGTTTCATGTGATATTGATAAAATGATTGTCTCACTTGGACGGAATGTTTTCCTATCTTATTTTTACTCACAACATTTAAAATAAATAGTCAATTATGTCCTAACTTTTGATTTCAGACCTTCAGCAATATCTTACACACGTCTGCTTATTTTCATTGAAGAATCAAAGTTAAATGAATTCTTTCCCACTTGATTTTTAAGATGTAAATTTAATTATCGGCCTAATGTTAACTATTTTAAATCAAAATTAATTATGAAACTTTTAAATATTTAATAAATATTTAGCAAACTATTGATTTTTAACCATCGATATAAAATCATCAAACTATCTCATTTAACACTATTAATCTAAAACCATTTAATGAGTTAAATATAATTAATGCTAAATAAAAAGCTATTAATGTTATGCTTTTCGATAAATTCAGATCTTATTATTATTTTGTTCATGATCTCAGATGAGAGAAGGAGAAGTTAAATATTTTCTTATGACATTGACTTATAATATCTAAATTTATCAATATAATTCAAATCTCTCTCCTAATTAAAAAGTAAAAATAAATAGGATTATTTTTGTAATGCAAGACTTTGATTTGATTTACAGTGTTTAAAGATTGATTGCAAACGTATAAATTTGTTTTAAGTCACAGGTTTCCTGGCTCCTTAGTGGGTCATACCTGGGTTAATGCATATTTGAATGCACATATTTAGCCTTCAAGTTCTCTTACCTCTTTTTAAGTATGCCAGGGAAAGAATAAATGCATTAAATACATTAGATGATCGATTAATAATCATTAACGCTTTATGGTCATGATTAATGTGGCACTTCTTTTGCTTGTATTTCATGCCGCTTTATAAATATGGGTCTAGTGGCAATAATGAGGTCCACATTTTTCCTTCATTAAACCCTCATCTCTTGAAGTATTTGTTACATGTGAAAGATGAAAATCTCAAATGAAAAGATTGACGTTGTGGATGGCAATGTAATTGCAGCACTATTCAACAAGAAGAAAATGAACATATATGCTTTTGCTAGCTTTGGAACCTATCTCGAACGACTTTAAGAGCTTGGCGACCGTTCCCTTCATTTGAATTTAATTTTTAACAAATTATAAATACAATAGTGCAGTCTGACAAGAAAAAATTAATAATATTAAGAACACATGAATCAAAGTCCAAATAGCTTTAAGCAAATTATTTAAAAGCATTAAATATTTCTTAAGCTCATTTGGGGGTAAAAAATCCTTTGAATTTTATATGTTTATATTAAAATAAGTGTTTTACGTGACAATGAGGTCACCGAATATTAAGTTTACACGGCATTATAAGCCCTGGAAACATCAAAGAACTAAAAAATGATATTTTTTGAAGCATTCAGTGTAATCAAATCTTTGGCAGAATTGATCAAAACACATTTTTAGATATCATTGTTGGAGTTTAAAGCTCTTCATGTACTTCAATTTTTTAGGAACCGTATTACACATTGAGATGTATATAATTAGGCCATACTCCAACATATTTGAAGAGGACTTCTGGATAAATATAATGTTGTGATTAATTTTGTTAGAATAGCATCACAAGATGATCAACTGATTAAGATTAGTAGATTTAAGAGGAGTAGAAAACTGAAGAATATTTGGAAAACTACTTCATTGGTTCTTTCATGTAAGATTTTTTAAAATACAAAGAATAAAGAGCTACAAACGAACCAAGCATTCGAAAATTTTGCTCGATAAGATCCGTTGGTTAAAATAAATAACATGAAAGCACTAAACTTAATATGTTTGGAAAAAAAGTGTTTGGTTAAAAATCAAATTACTCAATAATACTACTCTTTAATCTGCTCGATAATAAGTCTATTATTATCATATGAAGCGGACAAGAACCGAGCTCCAATAGACTAGAATGAGAAACAAACCAAGCTTGAGTGTAAATACGAATGCTCTCTCAGCTCAGTCTCCAGCTTACACTAGACCTGACATTGTTTGTTTGCAGCTCTAAAAGAATGCATTGTTCTAGACCAACATAGTTGGTTCTTCTAATTTTAAGCACTAACTCATCTTATAATGCCCTATTTTTTGAAAACAACTAAATATGAGCTATATATAACAAATTCCTATAAATTTTAGTTTGACATAAATTGCACTATGATTATCATAAAAGAAGGTAATATTTCTTGCATGAAATGAAATTCTCAGTCGCATGAAAACCTTATCTCGACTTGATATATGGAGACCGCAACTCTGAACTCTTTCATATTGGTAAACTGGCCGTCACCTTCTCCCTAGGTGCCTGATAGCTTGATTATTTCCAGAGCTTCCTATCTCTCTGTAGAGAAAACATAAACCAAAGGAAAACGAAGTTTGACATTTCTGTCTTTATACATCCCAATAAACTATCCTTTGGTAATGACACTAACACACTATTAACGAGGTTAATAAATCTTCTTGTTGTTAGGCCTAAATGAAGGTCACACTCATTCTCTTGTCGCCACTCTCTTGTCGCCATCATCCCAACTTAGCCTTAGCCTTGAGAAAATATTCATATTTTCTTTGGAAGATTTATATACATATCATTTGATTTCTATGTATTTACACATCTGACCTCTAAACTGAAATGTTTATATATAAGCCACCTAAATTTTGGATAAGATGGTGCATTTTATTTTCTTAAAGTTTAATTAATGATATTTTTATATGATATGAAAGATTTGTGTGGTATAAATGTAAAAAAAATAAAATTTAGGTGTTAAATATGTGAAAATTTTCTTTCACAATTTTCACTTTGTGTTCCAACTAATTGTTCAGAAAAAAACAAAAAATAAAAAATAAAGATATGTTCCAAATAATTCTGGACCAATTAAACTCTTTTATATTTACATATCTAATACCTAAACTTTGACATAACCCCCCAAATCTTTCACATCACATTAGAAATATCAATATTTTGATTTGATTTTAAAAAATAAAATAAATCTTTTCCTGCAAAGAATGTTGCAGATAATTCAATATATAGATGAACATCTTGTTGTGTTGTGATTGATGAGTATAGGATGAAATTGAGCTCTGAAACCAATCAATGTTTAGTTACAATAGAAGATATGAATGAAGCCTTTAAAGAGGTCGAGGAATATGGTTGATAGAGGAAAATATGAAACTTGGCACAACTTAGAGGAGGTATAAGCCGTGCAACATTTCGCTCATTCAATAATCATAATCTAATTATTATGCGTATCATGACACTTTATTTATAATAAGTCATGCTATATAATATTAATTAATCA